TTATTGGTTGGTAGACTCAATAAAAACAACATTCCTGCTCTTAATAAATTACTTATTCGAAAGAAAGAATTTATATCCACTTCATTCTCAACATATCATATCAACTTGCATTCCCAAGTCTTACTTTTTAACTTATCCCTAAGAGGCTTTGGAATAAGTACATGTACTTTGCACCCCCCAAACCTTAAAGTTGGATATGTCAGTCTTTGATCCAGTCCAATATTCATAATGGGTCAATGGTTTTGTGTTTGTCTTGACTCTACAAGGCATTTCCCTAAAATTAGATGGAGATATTAGCATAAGCCATCATAGACCTTGTCATATCCAGTAGAGTCCTATTACATATTTCTGTAATGCTATTTTGTTCAGGTGTATATGGCATGATATATAAATGTTTTATACCATTCTCTTTATGCAACGTCCAAAATTTCACATTCAAGGCATTAACTATCTATACTTCATTCAAACCATGAGAACATACTAAAGTACCATTAAATAAATAAAAATCATTCAAGATCCAATAACTAAATCGATAAATCTCCAAAAGAAACATAAACAAATCTTTAAGTTTACATCCAAAAACCAAAACGATAATCTTCCAATTAACTATTAAAAAAAATATTCCTGAAACATTATTTCAAGTCGACCACAATTCATAATTTTAAACTAAAAAGACACCCTCTAAAGAAATCATCTCTAGGCATCCATTCCTAGATCCACCTCAGCATTCCAGTCACCTCAAAGCCAAAACTGAAATTATATTTATATCGTAAGATGAGCAAATAAGCTCAATAGGAAAACCTTCTAAAACCTAAACAAGATTTTAAAATAAAAAAAATAGATAAGTCTCAATTGATAAGATAGCATACAGTACTTTGAAATAAAACAATGACACTTAATAAGATCTCAAATTTACAGTACCACACATAGTTTACAGAAGTAAAACTTATTCCAAAGTAACAGTTATTCACAAATATTATATTTCATATACGCAGGTAAACTAACATGAATCCACATATCGAGAATATACTTGCCCACCTACACACATAATAGTGCGAATTCTTGAACCTCGCAAAAAACCAAATAATTTTACTATGGGTGATAGAGAACTTTTAAACTCCTCAAGGTAAGAAACACATCTAAGCATCCTATGATATATGGTCGAATGTAAGCCACATTCATCACCTTCACCCATACAAGAGATACTTTTTACCCTTTTCCATCAAACCTACACATAATCACGAATCATAGTTTCATAATTGTTCAAACAAAATAATTTCAAGAAAATATGTAAGAGATCTCAAAGAAACATATTTACTTTGATCATAACCAAAAAGTAGGGTTAAAAAATCAAGAACATGTGAATTTTGATGTAAAATATGTGTAGGTTAGGTTAGTTTTGGTAATGGCTTCTCGACACTAGAGGATCTTGCACTGAAGGCTTACTGTTTTTTAGAAGTGCTCAAAACTCGATTCTAAAAATGCAATTTGGTAGCCCTTAGAAAAATAGAGTTTTTGGTTTTTGACTGGATTGAATCGAAGTCCGATAAAGCAAAATAAGGCCTTTCAAAGTCAATTGAACCGGGTTGAAATTGAACTGGTTTGACCAAGGTTCCAACTGGACTGGATTGGTCTGGAAAGGGGGCTCAGCTGGTTGGACTGGACTGGACTGAAAAGTGGTGGCTGGAAGGCCTGGAAGCATTCTGGCCTAACCGTTTGGAAAAAGGCTGAGCTTGGTGGCTGGATCTTTTGGCTAAACTCAACGACGCCGTTTGGAATGGCCTCTTCGTTCTTCTTCGTCTTTGTCTTCCACACAAGCTGCCGGCGAGTGCTCTGAACACTCCAATCCTTGGGAATTTCACCGAAGTACTCACAAGACAATTATCTCCGATGTAATCGCAGCCAATATTGAATGCTAGTAATTGGCCGTGCCTGAAGGCACGGTGTTGCTCTTAAATTAATTACAAATATTTGTCCATACATAAATATAAAATAAAATATAATATTGTAATAAATGATAAACAAAATGAGTCTGCTAATATTTTTTATAACATCAACCTACATGTATAGTATATATTTTCACATTAAATTGTTACACCACGAAAATTATGTTATAACTATTGAAACGTAATAATTCACACATCTGAAAAAATATATTAGTTGACAATATTCAATGTTCTATTTTTGATTTAAAATTCACGATTTTAACATTCATAATCAACTTTATCTAAATAATAACAGAATTCATAATTAATAGAATGAAAATTATAACAATACTCCCACAAATAAATTAAGTCTGCAGATGTTGTCAAATGATCAAATATAACTATCAAAAATTCAACCAACTTCCAAAAGATACAACCTGACTATTAAATTTATATGATCCGAGTTTATAATAGTGCTTTTAATTTTATACCACTCTTCTCGGTTATTTATTTTCTTAGTATATTTTTTTAAACTAAACGTTATTTAGTATTGGATTATTTAGTAAAGATTGTTATTTCGTATTATTCACTAAATATTTTATAAGATTCGTGTTCATAGTATTGGTTATAATTTTGTATCATTTCTCTTATTTGTAATTTTGTATCATTTCTCTTATTTGTAATTTTGTATCATTTTTCTCAGATATTTAGATTTGGATTATTTAGTAAATATTATTACTTTGTGTTGTTCACTAAATATTGAATTTGTATGATTCGTATTTGTATATGAATTTATTCTTGTATATTTAAAATATTAAGTATATTTCTTTAATATATCTCTTGATATCTGAGTTGCCCAATAACTTGAATTTAATCTTATATATTTTACATGTTAAACATATTTTATTTGTTAAATTAGATATTTTGCAAGTTATGTTCTTTTTATTGATTATAGAAAAAATAAAATTAACTATTGAATTTGTATGATTCGAGTTTGTAGTAATGTTTTTAATTTTATATCATTTTTTTGAATTATTTATATTCTTAGTATATTTTCTTAATCTAAACGTTATTTAGTATTGCATTATTTAGTAAAGATTGTTGTTTCATGTTGTTCACTAAATATTAAATTTGTATGATTCATGTTTATAGTGTTGCTTGTAATTTTGTATTGTTTCTCTTGCTTGTAATTTTGTATCTTTTTTTTTTGGTATTTAAATTTGAATTATTTAGTAAATATTGTTATTTTGTGTTGTTCGCTAAATATTGAATTTGTATGATTCGTGTCTGTATATGAATTTAATCTTGTATATTTTAAATATTAAACATATTTTTTTAATATATCTATTGATATCTGAGTTACCCAATACATTGAATTTAATCTTGTATATTTTACATATTAAACATATTTTCTTTGTTAAATTAGATTTTTTGCAAGTTATGTTTTTTTTATTGATTATGAAAAAAATAAAATAAAATATTGAATTTATATGATTCGTGTTTGTAGTATTGCTTGAATGAAAGAGAGAAATACAGATGAATATTTTTGTGATATATATTATCTATCTAATATTTATTATATAATTTTCCTTTTAAGAGAGATACAGAAGAATATTTTCTTAATATATTATCTCTCTGTGATATATAATATCTATCTATAGAGAGATGCACTATTTGTTTGAATCAGACAATATCTAATATTTTCATGAAATACAGAGACAAATATTTATGAAATATTGATACTTTTTACGTGAATTGAGCGTGAGAGAGAGAGATACAGATGAATGAGAGAGAGAGAGAGAGATTTGCTTGATTTAAGGAAAAGATTTGAGGGAATTAAATTTTGGAATATCAATTTTAGAAACTATAAATTTTGAACAGCAAAAATATGTCAAAAGAGTTAATATGATACGTTGGATTAAAACAATCTGAGATGTCAATAATTCGAGACAGTTTGAAATAACGTCGTCCATTAAATAATATTTTTTTTAGTCACAAATAATTTAAACCACTATTTGTCTCCAAAATTCAAATTCTTTTTATTTTATTATATAGATACTTAACTTTCGAACCACACAGTTTTTTTTTAAATTGTGTGTTCAACATAGGCCTTGTTCTGATACCATTGATGGTCTATGACGTTTATCTTAATGGTGGTAAAATGTCCTTAAACGGTCGAATTTGTGTACTTGGAGAGAAGACAAAAATATTTTCTTTTATTTTTAAATAAATATTTTTAATATATGATAAATTTTTATTTTTACAATAACACAAGGAGAATACAACGTGAACCATAGTGAGACAACACACCCTATGTCCCAAACCCTTCTTTGGTCTAAATTTTCACACCAATAAAAAAAATAATATTATTTAAATTTAATTTATTAATCTAATTCACTTCAATTATTATATTAATTATTAATTTCATCAAATATTAGAATTTGATGTTAATTTATGATTATAATAAAATCACATTATCAAATTAATAAATTAAATTTAAATAACGTTACTCAATAAAAATACCTCTTATTTTTAGATTGCGAAGTTTGTCCGAAGCACCTGTCCCTCGGAAAGAACCCTAGTTATTTTCTCTCTCCTCCATTTGCTTGGTCTTTCCTTTAAGCCTTCTGTGACTTTGAAGATAATCCAACAAGTTGTCCACGTATCTGTCTTGCCTATCCTTGTTGACAAACAAATCTCTCATCTCTTTGACATTCTCCCGATATATTTTTCCTTCCTCCTTAATCATCACCAAACTCAGTGACTCAGCCACTGAGTTCCTAGTAAAAGACCCATCCGTCTCGTTCCTAGGTATCGTATACGCCATCTTCTTTTCCTCCAGAACCCGAGCATTCAACCCTTGATCTGCTAAAAAGGTCAGCAAAACAAGGGCTCTCTCGAACTGTATGGCCTCCACCACTGAACTCCAACCCGAGTGAGTCAGGAATCCACCAACCGAGTCATGACTCACAATCTTGAGTTGAGGCGCCCAACTCGTGCACACCCACCCACGACCTTTGGTTCTCTCTTCAAACCCTTCCGGTAAATCGACTAACTCGGTATCTGCTGAACCTCGTTGCCTTCTCAAAACCCAGAGGAATGGTAACCCGGATAGCTCCAACCCAAGAGCTATCTCGGTGAGTTCGGCTTGACTTGGTTTCGCCTCGCTTCCAAATGCTACATAAACCAATGATCCTTTAACTTGCTTGTCAAGCCAATCCTTCATTCCTCTCCATGCATCGTTCTTGTCGTCATTGCCGCCGTCCCACGCCGTGGTGGGCAGCTGACCAACAGGAATAGCCGGTTTGCCGTGAATCTCTTCAACAACCTTTAACCATTCCGGTTCAAAGTCCTCACAGCTCCTCACAGCCAGTACGTCACAACCTTCGATGGTTGCTCCAAAACGATACAAGTCCGAAATGTTGTCTTCGTCTCCGGTGACGCTGTCAAAGATGGCATCTCTTTGACAGCGTCACCGGAGACGAAGACAACATTTCGGACTTGTATCGTTTTGGAGCAACCATCGAAGGTTGTGACGTACTGGCTGTGAGGAGCTGTGAGGACTTTGAACCGGAATGGTTAAAGGTTGTTGAAGAGATTCACGGCAAACCGGCTATTCCTGTTGGTCAGCTGCCCACCACGGCGTGGGACGGCGGCAATGACGACAAGAACGATGCATGGAGAGGAATGAAGGATTGGCTTGACAAGCAAGTTAAAGGATCATTGGTTTATGTAGCATTTGGAAGCGAGGCGAAACCAAGTCAAGCCGAACTCACCGAGATAGCTCTTGGGTTGGAGCTATCCGGGTTACCATTCCTCTGGGTTTTGAGAAGGCAACGAGGTTCAGCAGATACCGAGTTAGTCGATTTACCGGAAGGGTTTGAAGAGAGAACCAAAGGTCGTGGGTGGGTGTGCACGAGTTGGGCGCCTCAACTCAAGATTGTGAGTCATGACTCGGTTGGTGGATTCCTGACTCACTCGGGTTGGAGTTCAGTGGTGGAGGCCATACAGTTCGAGAGAGCCCTTGTTTTGCTGACCTTTTTAGCAGATCAAGGGTTGAATGCTCGGGTTCTGGAGGAAAAGAAGATGGCGTATACGATACCTAGGAACGAGACGGATGGGTCTTTTACTAGGAACTCAGTGGCTGAGTCACTGAGTTTGGTGATGATTAAGGAGGAAGGAAAAATATATCGGGAGAATGTCAAAGAGATGAGAGATTTGTTTGTCAACAAGGATAGGCAAGACAGATACGTGGACAACTTGTTGGATTATCTTCAAAGTCACAGAAGGCTTAAAGGAAAGACCAAGCAAATGGAGGAGAGAGAAAATAACTAGGGTTCTTTTCCGAGGGACAGGTGCTTCGGACAAACTTCGCAATCTAAAAATAAGAGGTATTTTTATTGAGTAACGTTATTTAAATTTAATTTATTAATTTGATAATGTGATTTTATTATAATCATAAATTAACATCAAATTCTAATATTTGATGAAATTAATAATTAATATAATAATTGAAGTGAATTAGATTAATAAATTAAATTTAAATAATATTATTTTTTTTATTGGTGTGAAAATTTAGACCAAAGAAGGGTTTGGGACATAGGGTGTGTTGTCTCACTATGGTTCACGTTGTATTCTCCTTGTGTTATTGTAAAAATAAAAATTTATCATATATTAAAAATATTTATTTAAAATAAAAGAAAATATTTTTGTCTTCTCTCCAAGTACACAAATTCGACCGTTTAAGGACATTTTACCACCATTAAGATAAACGTCATAGACCATCAATGGTATCAGAACAAGGCCTATGTTGAACACACAATTTAAAAAAAAACTGTGTGGTTCGAAAGTTAAGTATCTATATAATAAAATAAAAAGAATTTGAATTTTGGAGACAAATAGTGGTTTAAATTATTTGTGACTAAAAAAAATATTATTTAATGGACGACGTTATTTCAAACTGTCTCGAATTATTGACATCTCAGATTGTTTTAATCCAACGTATCATATTAACTCTTTTGACATATTTTTGCTGTTCAAAATTTATAGTTTCTAAAATTGATATTCCAAAATTTAATTCCCTCAAATCTTTTCCTTAAATCAAGCAAATCTCTCTCTCTCTCTCTCATTCATCTGTATCTCTCTCTCTCACGCTCAATTCACGTAAAAAGTATCAATATTTCATAAATATTTGTCTCTGTATTTCATGAAAATATTAGATATTGTCTGATTCAAACAAATAGTGCATCTCTCTATAGATAGATATTATATATCACAGAGAGATAATATATTAAGAAAATATTCTTCTGTATCTCTCTTAAAAGGAAAATTATATAATAAATATTAGATAGATAATATATATCACAAAAATATTCATCTGTATTTCTCTCTTTCATTCAAGCAATACTACAAACACGAATCATATAAATTCAATATTTTATTTTATTTTTTTCATAATCAATAAAAAAAACATAACTTGCAAAAAATCTAATTTAACAAAGAAAATATGTTTAATATGTAAAATATACAAGATTAAATTCAATGTATTGGGTAACTCAGATATCAATAGATATATTAAAAAAATATGTTTAATATTTAAAATATACAAGATTAAATTCATATACAGACACGAATCATACAAATTCAATATTTAGCGAACAACACAAAATAACAATATTTACTAAATAATTCAAATTTAAATACCAAAAAAAAAAGATACAAAATTACAAGCAAGAGAAACAATACAAAATTACAAGCAACACTATAAACATGAATCATACAAATTTAATATTTAGTGAACAACATGAAACAACAATCTTTACTAAATAATGCAATACTAAATAACGTTTAGATTAAGAAAATATACTAAGAATATAAATAATTCAAAAAAATGATATAAAATTAAAAACATTACTACAAACTCGAATCATACAAATTCAATAGTTAATTTTATTTTTTCTATAATCAATAAAAAGAACATAACTTGCAAAATATCTAATTTAACAAATAAAATATGTTTAACATGTAAAATATATAAGATTAAATTCAAGTTATTGGGCAACTCAGATATCAAGAGATATATTAAAGAAATATACTTAATATTTTAAATATACAAGAATAAATTCATATACAAATACGAATCATACAAATTCAATATTTAGTGAACAACACAAAGTAATAATATTTACTAAATAATCCAAATCTAAATATCTGAGAAAAATGATACAAAATTACAAATAAGAGAAATGATACAAAATTACAAATAAGAGAAATGATACAAAATTATAACCAATACTATGAACACGAATCTTATAAAATATTTAGTGAATAATACGAAATAACAATCTTTACTAAATAATCCAATACTAAATAACGTTTAGTTTAAAAAAATATACTAAGAAAATAAATAACCGAGAAGAGTGGTATAAAATTAAAAGCACTATTATAAACTCGGATCATATAAATTTAATAGTCAGGTTGTATCTTTTGGAAGTTGGTTGAATTTTTGATAGTTATATTTGATCATTTGACAACATCTGCAGACTTAATTTATTTGTGGGAGTATTGTTATAATTTTCATTCTATTAATTATGAATTCTGTTATTATTTAGATAAAGTTGATTATGAATGTTAAAATCGTGAATTTTAAATCAAAAATAGAACATTGAATATTGTCAACTAATATATTTTTTCAGATGTGTGAATTATTACGTTTCAATAGTTATAACATAATTTTCGTGGTGTAACAATTTAATGTGAAAATATATACTATACATGTAGGTTGATGTTATAAAAAATATTAGCAGACTCATTTTGTTTATCATTTATTACAATATTATATTTTATTTTATATTTATGTATGGACAAATATTTGTAATTAATTTAAGAGCAACACCGTGCCTTCAGGCACGGCCAATTACTAGCATTCAATATTGGCTGCGATTACATCGGAGATAATTGTCTTGTGAGTACTTCGGTGAAATTCCCAAGGATTGGAGTGTTCAGAGCACTCGCCGGCAGCTTGTGTGGAAGACAAAGACGAAGAAGAACGAAGAGGCCATTCCAAACGGCGTCGTTGAGTTTAGCCAAAAGATCCAGCCACCAAGCTCAGCCTTTTTCCAAACGGTTAGGCCAGAATGCTTCCAGGCCTTCCAGCCACCACTTTTCAGTCCAGTCCAGTCCAACCAGCTGAGCCCCTTTCCAGACCAATCCAGTCCAGTTGGAACCTTGGTCAAACCAGTTCAATTTCAACCCGGTTCAATTGACTTTGAAAGGCCTTATTTTGCTTTATCGGACTTCGATTCAATCCAGTCAAAAACCAAAAACTCTATTTTTCTAAGGGCTACCAAATTGCATTTTTAGAATCGAGTTTTGAGCACTTCTAAAAACAGTAAGCCTTCAGTGCAAGATCCTCTAGTGTCGAGAAGCCATTACCAAAACTAACCTAACCTACACATATTTTACATCAAAATTCACATGTTCTTGATTTTTTAACCCTACTTTTTGGTTATGATCAAAGTAAATATGTTTCTTTGAGATCTCTTACATATTTTCTTGAAATTATTTTGTTTGAACAATTATGAAACTATGATTCGTGATTATGTGTAGGTTTGATGGAAAAGGGTAAAAAGTATCTCTTGTATGGGTGAAGGTGATGAATGTGGCTTACATTCGACCATATATCATAGGATGCTTAGATGTGTTTCTTACCTTGAGGAGTTTAAAAGTTCTCTATCACCCATAGTAAAATTATTTGGTTTTTTGCGAGGTTCAAGAATTCGCACTATTATGTGTGTAGGTGGGCAAGTATATTCTCGATATGTGGATTCATGTTAGTTTACCTGCGTATATGAAATATAATATTTGTGAATAACTGTTACTTTGGAATAAGTTTTACTTCTGTAAACTATGTGTGGTACTGTAAATTTGAGATCTTATTAAGTGTCATTGTTTTATTTCAAAGTACTGTATGCTATCTTATCAATTGAGACTTATCTATTTTTTTTATTTTAAAATCTTGTTTAGGTTTTAGAAGGTTTTCCTATTGAGCTTATTTGCTCATCTTACGATATAAATATAATTTCAGTTTTGGCTTTGAGGTGACTGGAATGCTGAGGTGGATCTAGGAATGGATGCCTAGAGATGATTTCTTTAGAGGGTGTCTTTTTAGTTTAAAATTATGAATTGTGGTCGACTTGAAATAATGTTTCAGGAATATTTTTTTTAATAGTTAATTGGAAGATTATCGTTTTGGTTTTTGGATGTAAACTTAAAGATTTGTTTATGTTTCTTTTGGAGATTTATCGATTTAGTTATTGGATCTTGAATGATTTTTATTTATTTAATGGTACTTTAGTATGTTCTCATGGTTTGAATGAAGTATAGATAGTTAATGCCTTGAATGTGAAATTTTGGACGTTGCATAAAGAGAATGGTATAAAACATTTATATATCATGCCATATACACCTGAACAAAATAGCATTACAGAAATATGTAATAGGACTCTACTGGATATGACAAGGTCTATGATGGCTTATGCTAATATCTCCATCTAATTTTAGGGAAATGCCTTGTAGAGTCAAGACAAACACAAACCATTGACCCATTATGAATATTGGACTGGATCAAAGACTGACATATCCAACTTTAAGGTTTGGGGGGTGCAAAGTACATGTACTTATTCCAAAGCCTCTTAGGGATAAGTTAAAAAGTAAGACTTGGGAATGCAAGTTGATATGATATGTTGAGAATGAAGTGGATATAAATTCTTTCTTTCGAATAAGTAATTTATTAAGAGCAGGAATGTTGTTTTTATTGAGTCTACCAACCAAATAACTCTCATT